TATATATATATATACTTCTAATACTTTTTTTTTCTCTATATTTTTGTTTTTGTTGACTCATTATATTCTTAATAATTCCTTTTAATATTCAAATACACTTTTCTTTGCATATACCAGAAATATTACGGTATACTCTAAGAATGTTTATGAATTAGTTGGATTCGGATTTAGAACAAATTAAAGTTAGTCTTAATCTATTTTTGATTGGTTTGATTTGAATTGGATTTATTAAAAAAAACACATTTTTATGATTTGAATCCAGCCAAACTAATTAACAAGTTAATTTGATTTAGAATTTTTTTAAAAAGATAAATATTTATTTTTAAAAACATAAAAAAAATACATTATTTGATCCTAAAATTTGAATATAAATCTATCTTTAAAATTGTAACGACCTGGCTGGTTACTACACACTACACAGAACACTTGAAAACTGGACAGAAAGGAACAAGTGTATATATATAGTGTCTAGAATATACATATATACATGGTCCAAGTCTGACTAGATTCAAAATGTACAAAAATATATCCAAAGCTACTACACCAAGTAGCTGAAACAACAAAATATCAACAAGGATCAGCTCCGCCTGCCAGCTGCAGACTCACCACTAGCCACCAACCTATCCCTGCTCTGCTCCCATACATAGTATGATCATTGCAGTCCAAACCACATGGAAACAACAAAGGGTAAGCTAGTGAAAATAATCAGCATATAAACATATACATGAAATATGAACAGCTACAACTATCAACACAACATCAGCATACACCTCATCAACTATACAACATAACAGCAATAAGCACACAATGCGTCATCACGCATATCATCTCGGAGATCTCCTACTACAGCTCAGCCTTACAGCCTACAACAACTCAGCCTTACGGCCTACAACAACTCAACCTTACGGCCTACAACAACTCAGCCTTACGGCTAAACAGCTTACAGCATAGCTAAACAACACAGCTCAACATTATACAATACAACATTTTCAGCTATAACAACATACGGCTTTAACAGCTTACATCAATAACATCTTACATCCTAGCTAGTAATATTCAACATAGCTTAACAGCTCACAACACAACAATATTCATCAATTACAGCTCAACATCATAATGCAGCATAAACATCTCACAGCACATCAAAATCATCACTCATCTCAACAACATTCATCATTAACAGCTTAAATCAGCCTAAATAACATTCAACACAACTCAGTTTTTCATCATACGACATTAACAGCATTAATCAACATAAACAACATTATCAACAACATGATCAACAACTTTACAATATACAACATACAGCATATTCAACACATAATACGGCTTATCCATCTTGTTTACAACTCATCTATCTTGTCAAATTACCCACCCAAACAACACCAATCAACCCAAGTACCTAAAACAACTTTCAACTTAACCAAATTACTAAATGTGAAATGACAACCTCCACAGAAAACAGCGCATCATGAGTTATACTACTCTTACCATGCTCACCCTTATCTCACATGAAAGATGAGAAGATTTCCTACAACTCTCATGAAGACACCAAGTCCTAATTCCTTCATATACCTTGTTAAAAATGATAAAAACCGCAACAACTATAAACAATGCTAGCAGCTCGACCCCTCTTCACTAAAACATCCATATCTACAGTTCTAAAACTCCTTTTTGGGTGATTCCAGCGCCATTGGAAAGCTAACATCCAAGGCTACAACTTTCATGAAGACTATAAAGTCAAATTCTAAAAAAAACGCACTCTCGGCATATCAAAATCACGCCTAGTGCAATTCTCAACCAGAGACCTACAGAGGTCTATTGCGCCCGGCGCAATCATCCTGCACCCGGTGCAATATCAGTAACAGAAACATTAGATTCACGTCTGATAGTGCGCCCAGCGTGGTTCTCCCCACGCCCCGCGTGATTCACACAGGGATTCCCTATTTCAAATCATGTCGGCGCGAAGAACTGCGCCCGACGCAATTTCAAATAGTAACCCACACCACTTTGAAGATTTCACCCAAAACCTGCAAAAATCAACATCCCAGGCACATGCAATCGGTCCAAAACATAACATTTTCATCATACAACCCGAAAATACCAGCTTTTTCAACATGCATTCATCAATCATCAAAAACCCCAATTTTTTCATCAAAACCCCGAAAACCCATTTTCATCACATACAACCATCAATCTTTAAGAAATCAACCACACCATGAGTTTAAGAACTCATTTCCAACAAAATCTGCTAAGAAAACTAGCTTTCCTTACCTCGGTGCGAGAATCCGAGCTCTGGGAAGAAGACGACTTGAACGAAGAAGAAAATGGGAAGAAGGAGAAGCTTGAGGAAGCTCCGCACGGCTCAGCAAGAAACTCAACACCACTACTCAGCTCCTAAGATTCACCACAGCCACCCAAGATCAGAGAAAAAGGAAAATGGGGAAAAAAAGAGTGAAATGAGAAGTGAATGAGAGAAGAGAGTGAAAGAGAGTCGGGGAGAGAAAAATAAGGAAGGGGGTCTCACAAAAATATGATAAATAACATTCAAGTGTAGATAAAAAAGAGTAATATAAAAAAAATGACATTAAAGTAGTTTAACAAAGTTTAACATAATATAATATTTAAATTAAAGTATATTGTAAAATATTAATATTATAAAAGAACTATTGTTAGTACAACACTAGTTAGACTAAATATATTTATGAAGTGCAAGTGACATTATTGTGCAATTAGCATTGTTAAAGTGAGTCACTTGACTCGACCAACCTATCATGGATAAGGTAATATGTGGATTAACCTAGCTCAACTCACCTTTTGTTAAGTCTAAAAAATTTATCTAACGCAAGTCACTATATGTTGATAGATTAAATGAGTTGACTCACTTAAATTATTTATAAAAAAAACACTTATTGAACATTATAAAAAATACCTACTATAATCTTATATTTTAGAATTACAACTATATATGTTAATAAAACAATTTAAAAATAAAAAAGACATCAATTATAATAAACGTATAATATTAAAATGATGACAAAAATACATTTTTCATTCCTTATATTTTTTATTAGTGTCAATTTAGTCTCACTTTAATTAATTGAATCAATTTAGTCTCACATATCTTTAAAATGTATCTCAATATTTAATTTTCTGTTTCTTCCATTTAAATACTTAACATATTTAACACATGTCATGTCATGTGTCATGTCATCATGTCACGTGTCATATCATCATGTCATGATGTCTAACCATGTGGCATGACAGTATAACACATGTCATGACACGTGTTATATTCGTTATTTAAACGGAGAAGATGAAAAATAAAACATTGAGATACATTTTTAAAATATAAAACTAAATTGATTCAATTAATTAAAGTGAGACTAAATTGAATCTAATAAATAATATAAGGGATGAAAAGTATATTATTACATAAAATAATTATATAAAATATTAACAAATAATATCAAATTGACACTAATTATAATATGTACAAAATTTAATTAATAATATAAATACTGTATAATCACATCAACACATTAAAATATATATATATATATAAAGGAGGTGATAAGCGATAAATGAAAAATTGAATGCGGAACATCGTTCACGGTGGGACTCGAACCCACAATCTCCCGCTCCGGAGGCGAGCGCCTTATCCATTAGGCCACGCGAACTTATTTGTCGTGTAATGTAATTGTTTTAGAAATTAATTTTAACTACCTTTGTATGACCCTATTTTCCCAACTCACTTCAACAAGAACCTCTAGATCAAATAATTAAATTTATGTCAAATATTATAATAATTATTTTCTGAAAATTATTTTTAACACTTTCTTTTTTATGATAATAATAATTATAATGTAATGTTTTAATTTACAAATATGAGACTATTAATTTGCTTATATGACTGTACGATTATTTTATTAATTATGTTTTTAATTATAATCATTTAATATATCATTTAAGTCGTGTCAATATATTGTAGTTTTATTTTTCACTTGTCCCAAATTTTAGTGTTGTATTTTTTTTACTCTTTGAATAGATATTCATTATTTTTCTTCATGGTATCTATAGGGTTAAATTTTCTACAATCTATACCTTAATAATTTATGGGAGATTCACCTAATATTAAATGATCCAACATACATTAACAATAGTTTCAATCTAGTGATAATTTTAACCTTATTAATCTCGAACTTATTCACACATTATATAAAATAAAAGAATTATTTAATAATACAATAACCTAATTAATAATAAAATTTGTATTTTAAAGTACTATATTATAAACACAAAATATCCACGTTAATTAACCAATTGAAAATTATCGATGAATGTTCTTTTCTAATTATTTTTTCTATAACACCTGTCTTTTAATTATCAAAATTATATAAATTAGTGAGTTTGAAATATTTTATATCCTTATATTTTATTTAAAAGTTTTAAAATAAAAAAAAAATTAAGATTAAAAAATTAAATAATTAGAAGTGATTAACTTATTTGAGTGTTTACATAGGTGGTTAATTTGTAATATTATTTATATTATTTAAAGATTTAATTGTAAAATCGTAAAAGAAATGATATATAATATATATATATATAAGTATATATATAAATATTAATATTAATATTTTTTTCTAAACAGCTCAAAATATAGACTATGGCTACCTTAAATTTGGGCGGACCATACTATTAATTTTAATTATGCTTTAAAAAAAGTTAGGTTTACTGGACCAAGTTTTAATTTGTGCTTCAGATGCAATCTTACTTATTTTTTTCTTTAAAATGTTTAATTTATCTTCAAAAAATAAACAATTAATTAATTTTTAAAAAATAAGTTAAACAAATTTACAATTTATTATACATATAAATAGGTTTTTTTTTTTAAAAAAAAAAACGAATCACTTATTTTAATACGTGGTTAGTTTAATTGAATTTTAAAACAAGTATATTATTAGAGGAAGCAATGGAAGTTTTGAAAGAAGAAATTGAGAAAGATAAAAGAAAACCCTATAAACCTGTATTTTTCAGACAACGAGTGACAGGGATAACATAATGGCTCTGGGAATCTCAAACATACTGCACTGCCCCAAATTGAGTTTCTCCCACAGCAATTTCCGACCCAAAGTTTCAACCTCTCTCAGGTCATCCATTTCTCTCTTTCTTTCTATCCACTAGTAAGAATCGACGACCAAATTTCGCATCCCACGCGTTTCTTATCTTCACAGAGCTCATTTCTAGGGTTGATAAAATGCAATTGGGTTTGAATTTTCAGGTTTCCCCAAACAGCAGCATGGAGTGATAGAAGGATTATCTGTGCCGCGGCATCTGCGGCAGGAAGCTCTAATCCCGATGGTGACTTTAATCCTTATGAGGTAAAAAAGAGAGTTAAAACTACACTCTAATTAGTTCATACTTCATGGTTTGAAATTTGAAGTCATTCGATTTCGAGGTGTACCTGAGTTGTTATGATGTGATATAGGTTCTAGGTGTTAACCCTATTGAGAAATTTGACATGATCAAGGCAGCATATGCCAAAAAAAAGAAGGAAGCTGAGATGAATGGTGATGAAGCAACTGCTTCCAGAGTAGGTTCACTTTTCTCTCTTTTTCCTTTTCTTTTTGGGTGGTAAAATGGTTTTGATAGCAATCGAAATTCCAACAGTGTTATATTGTGGAACAGTCTGTTATGTCTGATATGTCAACTAGTTTTCCAAGTTTCAAATGGGTGAGGTTCATTGTTTGCATTCATATTTGGAAATTAAAATTATAAGCTGGGCAATATGTTTAATATTGTTAAGTTTACTTCTAATGCTTGTAATCCAGAGTAAAACTCATATGGGATATAAGAGGTTGATTATTTCATTATTTTGGAGGTTCTTAATGATGTGTATTGATATGATTTTCCTCAAAGTTTAATGCACTAATGTATGAGATCTTGTGCGTTGTGAATGTATAATTCAGCTGGAAAAGGCATATGACAAACTCATGATGGCTCAATTGTCTAATCGGAAAAAGGGTGTGACTTTTGGATCATTTAAGGTAATGTAGGGGAATCCTTCTTTGCATGGACACTTAAAATTGCACACTAACTTGAAGGCATAGCAACACTGAGACACTTCCTGTTTAACTTGTGTTAGGTTGAAGCTACTTTGCTAGTGTAGTTTTGGCTGTATTTGATGCATTCTATATTCACTGGACTTCCTTTGATGAAGTAGCTGTAATTTTATAGAACATCTCTTTGACTACTTTTTCCTTCTCAAAACGAACAAACTGCCATATTATCTTGAACACTTGATATTTTTATTATTTTCTTTGGTTTGCTTTGGGGAAATTGTTCATTCAAATATGTATTTTGCCTTCTTCCTATATTTTCGAAGTATTTGACCCCAATTTGTTGTTGTTTTATCGCATCTCAAAATGTTAATGTCCTTTTTAAACGAAATGCAGGTTTCAAAGGAGATCAAGTATGCCGACAAACAGCCAGTTATACCTTGGGGGCCAAGGTTTGATGTTGCTTCTTTTGATTAATGGCATGGTAGTTTGTTGTTGTATATTGTTGTGGCTGCTACCATTAGTTTACTAAAATAACTGTTACTTTATTGGAGTATTCAATATCCAAAATTCCTAGGTTGACATGTTTCCTGTCTAGTAATCTGACTGGATGATGTGGTAGGTCATTATTGGGACCACTATAGTAAATTTAATCTAACATCTAACTCAAACACAGTCACAGCATGTTTGGTAACGGTTGTTATAGAGGAAATGATCACTAGTTCTTCAAAAGCTCTTTTAGAAAGTTGGCAAAAATAAGTGATTATTTATCTAAAACAAGCTGAATCAAACAAACACTTAATCAAACCTTCAAATAAATAGTGTTAATTAGGATATCCTTTATTCTTGATATATGATCCAATTCTATTTAAACAAACTCTTAATCATTTCTATTTGAATTAGTTTTTTAATGCTTTTTTGAATAGAACAGCTTGGAAGAAAAATCTCATTTTTCCTGCTTGCTTGGATGGATTACATTTTTTTTTTAGTGTTCTACATGTTACCCAAATTATTGTTTCCCCCCTTATCACTATCACCCTATTAACAACTACTTGTATCTTTTGTTGTTATTTTGTCCTTCAATGCAATTTCAGGTTTACTAAATCAAGTAAAAATGACATGCGCATCAACTTGGCAATATCTGCTGTTTTTGTGAGTAGGATATACATGGTTATTTTAATTTAGGTTTATATACATTTTTTGGTTTCCTATGTATTGCAATTGTGTAATTTTAGTCACCTAAGTTTCAATTGAGTAAATTGGGTCCCCAAGTATCCAAATTGTGTGATTATAGTCTCTCTGACAATCTTCCCTTAAAAATTTAACAATTTTTGTTGATGTGGCATTGGCAAGTGACATAATAGGAGAAAAAAATTGTCAAAATGTTTAATGATGAGATTAGATCTCCCAACCCTAAACTCCAAAAATAACACTTAACTACTAGGCTAATGGGTTTCTTTGATATATAAATGATAGTTGTAATGTATAGTCTTTAATGGGAACCAAAATGAAACTTATATTTAATACTACTAAATGAAAAATTATATATATATATATATATATATATATTATTAATAATATCATGATAAATTAATTCTAACAATATTAATAATTTTATTAGTATATTAATAGATAAATTAATAATGTAATAAATATAAATATATTGGAAGGTGAATTAAAATATGATATAAGTATTAAACATCTAATTTGCATATTATAGTCTCTAAAATTTATATTTATATATTTCCATGAAAGTATATTAATATATACTAATTTATATTTATTAAATTATCTTATCTATAAATGTACTAATAATATTATTAATATTAATTTATCAATGATACTAATATATATAATATACATTTTTTTATTTATTTAGTAGTAGTAAATATATGTGTAATTTTGGTTCCCATTTAAGGTATATATATCATCACTTTCATTTATACGTTGAAGAAATTCATTAGTTTAGTGATTAATTATTGTTGGTAAAGTAAAAGGCAAGGGGTTCATATCTCATATCTATCATTTTGACAACCCCCCCCTCCCTATTTTTATGTGTTACATCATTGCATCATGTCACTGGCACATCGGTAATGACATTGGTAATGTCATCTATTAGTGCCATGTCATCAAAATTTGTTAAATTTTTTACAAAGAGACCAAGATGGCACAATTGTGATACTTGAGTGACTCAATTTGCTCAATTGAAACTTAGAGGACCAAAATTGCACTATTGAGTTACTTGGAGGAGTAAAAGTGCATTTAAGACTTTATTTTATTCTTAAGAAAAAAAATATCAATGCTCATAAACCATATCATTATTGTGTCTTGTGTCTTAAATTGTAGTATTCAAACAGAATTGCTTATCATTTGTCTGCAGACAGCTTGGATCCTTGTCAAGCGCAGTGCTGAATATAAACCTTTGCAGTTTTTAGCCTTTGCCTTTGTTTATAGGCTTTTTGAGAAGTTAAAAACCTTTGAATCTCCTGCAACACCTATATATAATGTGAGTTTCATATTCTATGACAACTTATTCAGTGAAATTTCAAAATCTTCTGTTTCTGAACCATGTTAAGTTATCAGTAGAATTGTATAGTTCATGTTACTATTGGCCACAGGAAGAGGGTGAAGACACAGGAGAAGGACTGCGCATGGGAAAACGACTGCTCCGATCACTGGCCTTGGCTTTTGGATGTGTAGCTATTTCATCTTTGGTATGATGATTCCTTAGATCTTTTGGTGTGACTCATGGATTAGTACTTCAATATCCCAATTTCTTGTCTTCTGCAACAATTAACAAGGAAGCTGAAATAATATATCTATTATTTTTTCCTGTAACAAAAAAAGGAGAAAAGTGAGGTGGAAGGGAGAGAGGGATCAATTCATCTTATCACCCTCTTTTCCTATTTTACTTCCTATTTTATGTTTTTTTTAAATCTTTATTGAATCTCTAATTTGAAGAGTGTCTTTAAAGAAAAAATATTGTGGTAGCCAAATTACAGAAATTTGATTGTATTGTGTTTGACTTGCACTAGTACCAAACCTGGAAAGCTATTGCATTTGGGAGAGATTGGAGATAGAGATCACCAGATCTATGATGCCCAAACTAATTTATACTATGTAGATGTAGTTTTTGAAGGAAAATCGGAAGTTCAATTTCTTTGTCGCTCAATATTTATATTAGTCAAATATACCTGAAGTTTTCTATGTTCTTCTTATCATCATCATTACGCATTAGCATGTCTCAAAATTATTTGATTTTCCAAATAAAGGTTAATACTATTTTGTTCTTTTCTTGCAGGCGTACACCTTTATTTTGAACATAATTGAGTTTGCAGGTGGTTTTATTCCCGTTCTTCTGTACAACAGTCAGGTATACTATAAATAAATGAGCAGTCCTTCCTGGCATAAAATATATAAAAGATTGTCCACTATCCTTGTGATGCCTTAGAAACTTGCAAACATTCTTTATGTGGGTTTTCTTTCCAAATGCGTTTTATTTCTCATTTGGCTATGCAGTAAAGAGATGAATGATTATGATCATGGTTCATGATATAAAACTATTTCTTGGTTACGTTTATTACTTGTGATGTTAAGGGGTTGGTTGGCATTGAAGTATGAAATACTTGTGAACTTGGATAGGTAGTTCATTGGCTAAGTGGCTATGTTTCTTAATGTGCATATGAATTTAGAATGAATAGTAAAATCAATTTACAAAGCACAGGTGCAACGTTAAGGACTGCTAAATTTACATTTGACAACCTTTATGGCATCTGCAGGAGTTGATAATCACCACTTCATCGGCAGTCATGCTTTATATCATGGCATCTTATTATAGATAGTGGAGCTTGTCTTGAAGACGAAGAAATCAGGCATCTAGTCATCATCTATTTCTTTCCTCTTTTTTTTTATAATCTTTTTCCTCCCTTCTCTAGCCTTTGTTCCTATTGTGAACTAAAGTGTTTCACTCAAATTTTGTCAAAAGATAGATGCTTTTCCCTTGTTCCTATAGTAGGGATAGTGTTAACTTTCTTATGATACTTTTGAGTTTTTCCTTTCCGGGGTGGTGGGGGGAGGGGGGGTCATTGATATTTATTGATTATTCACATTATAGTAGTATGTAGTCTTGCCTGTTTTTTCTCGGTTAATCAATTCTATTCTATTTGGAAAAAAACAAAAGGTCGTTAGGGAGTTACACTACCATCATGTAAGGTAGCTTATTTGACGGTGGGGGTAAATGAGATTGATTATATGCACTTTTGCACAAGGAAAATGTAAGAAAGTCGGGAATAAAGTAGAATTTGTATGTATTCAATTTCATGCAACGATGGGGGAAAATCGCTTGCCTTATTTCTCTTATTAATTTTTTTTGCGCTATATATTTGAAATTTGAGTGTACTTGTTTAATTCAGATTAGAGGTTGATCTGATTAGAGGGTTGTGTAGATGGTTTCGTCGATTCCACGTGGGTCAAAAGCCTAATTGAAAACACTATAAATTGAGTTTAAATTTAAATGAATATCAATTTATTTTAGAATGGATCAAATGTATGACTGTCATGTCATTAATGAAATTAAATAAGAAATATATTATAAATTAATGTGTATTAATTTTTTTAGGGGAAATTAATGTGTATTAATTTTTTTAAAAAAATCTAATTAATGAAAACGTTATTAATTTTTTACTATAGATGATGTCAATTTTGTTAGGGATGCCAAGTATGAAAATACTCGGTTGGATGACTGGATATGCTCTCCAGGACATAATTGAGAAGGAAATGGTAAACATTTCTGTCATAGGAGTCAAATAATTTTGTCCATATATAGGAGGAAATTCTGAGAATTAGAAAAAAGAGAAATACGTCGAAATATTGGACAATGTGGCAACGTGGACATTATAATATCTTACGGAAAACTAACAAGGTTATTCAGTTTGACTTGGTGTTAACTCTTTATGATCACTTTTTTATTTGGTTATTGTAGAATGATGTTTGATGTAATGAGCAAAGTCAAGCCCACGCGTGTCGGTTCGTCTAATTTACCTGGGCTCCTGATATATACACTTTTTTTTTAATAATAATAAGCACACTTTTTTTTTTTAAACTAAAATTTTCAAAATAACTTTTTTTTCCAACACTTCATTCTCTTCTGTTTTCACTGTTTACATGTACTCCTTTATTTTTTTTTTTCCCACTCTCCACCTATTAGTTTTAATTTTCTCGATTTTTACATTACTTTCTTTCTTTCTTCTTTTAGTTTTCACATTATTATTCTCTCCCTTTTCTTCTTTTAGTTTTTGAATGCATTAAGAATATAAAATTTGTATCTAATAACATTATAGATATGTGTGGTTTTTTCAATAATGTTAAAAGTGTCAAACTAGATGTGTTTTTTTATTCGAGTATTTCTCTTCATTTACACATCTAGCAAGCATAACATTAAATTTAGTGATTCACATAATTTTAATATTCCATAAAGCACTTTTTAGAATAGTAAAATTAGTGTTTCAGAAAATATTTTCTAAAATTATTTTTTAACATACTTCTAGTAAGTACTTTCTAGAACACTAAATTTAAGATTCTGAAAACAATTTTTTAGAATTATGTAGAACAACACATTTGCTGAAAGTACCCTCTAGAATCTTATTTTACTATTTTGAAAAGTACTTTTTGAAACACTAAATTTAGTGTTATAGAAAGTACTTTCAAAAATTATTTTTTAGAATACTTCTGAAAAGTACCTTCTAGGATACTAATTTCACTATTTCGGAAAATTCTTTTCGAAATATTGAAATTAATGTTTGGAAAAATATTTTTTAAAATATTAAATTTAATGTTATGGTTTCTAAAAGTGTTAAAGGGGAAGAAGTGTTTGAAGAAAAACATACATCTAGTTCAACACCTTCAAAGTTGTTGAGGAAGTCACATTTGCCTATTACACCGTCGCACATCAGTTCTATGGTTTAAATATATGTGAAAATTGAAAGAGATGAAGGGGAAGAGAGTAATGTGAAAATCAAAAGATTTAAAACTACCTACTAAAATAGGTGAGTGAGAGTAAGACAAAGAAATGCATGCGAAAACTAAAAGGATGAGAGAATGAGGTGTGTAAAAAAGAAGAAAGTGTTAAATTGAAAGTTAGGAGTGTAAAATTAAAATATTAAAGAATAATAAAAGAGATTAAAGATATTTAAAAAAAAATAAAAATAAAAGAGATTTACTTATAAAAATAAAAATAAAAATAAAAAGGAGGGGTATATATCACGAGTCTTTACTTGATGTGTCGCTATTTGGGCTCAGTTTTGGGCCTCGGAGGGAACGGGTGGCACAGGACACAGGTGTGAAGAGACAGGGATATTTTGGAGATTTTAAAAAATACAATAAACAAATGAGGGTGAGAAGATAAAAGGGGGTTTGTAAAAAATCATGGTATGGCCCGTAAAACAAATGCCCATGCTTCACCAGAAGAAAAAACAAATTACGAGCCCGAAAAATGCATCTAAGGTTGACAAATGGTGAGAATACAGTATTTTCATAACGCTGTTTAGTCTTCAAGGGTTCATGGTCAAGCTGTATATTCACACTCTTTTTTTTTATAAGATTTGCATGAAGTTGACATAATAATAAAAATTGTACAAACGTGTTAACGAGTGTGTTGGTAATATATTTTTCCTTATAATTTATATCCATGATAAATTTTATATACAACTATATCACCATTAAATTTTATAAATATATTAATTATTCTAAATAATAAAAATGCTATCATATATAAAATTTAGCATGAAGCGATTTATTTTATCATTGAAAAACTGACAAGTATACAGACAAATCGTCTATTATTATACAATATATACAAGACTGAAAAGAAAGACTAAAAAATGACCAAATGGATAAAAAAAAAAAAAAAGACAGACCAATAGTTGGTGGGGAAATCCATTGAAACTGCAAGATGGCTACAATACAACTTGACAAAACATTAAAAACAGCAAACTTAATTATCCATTGGTTATTGTCTCCATTTTTGTTGCCAAAAAACAAAATGATTCTTTTCTTCTTCCTCATATTATCATAGTATTTAAACTCATTTGTTCCCATCCTCCTCTTGAAACATCACATGCAATTCAGTATAAAGTTCTTGGAATACGTGTGTACTACAGATAAAGTTGCCTCAATAATACTGGTGTCACTTGCAATCTTGTTGGAGTATCTGGGTAATTAATTACTCTGTTCCTTTCCCTGCCACAGATTCTGTATGATGGGAAAAATAATAGCTGCCGCTTCCCTTGTTTTCTCTTGTGTTCTTTGCATCTATATATGTGTGTTCATAGATTTTTCCTGTGATTTTTATTGGTGTTAACTAAATTAAGAGTAATTAGCTTATCTATCACCATGTGGCTACGGTCAAAAGGAAACTGGACAGTAATATTGCTTCAGATATTTTGTTGAACATAACTGTGAATAAGTATTTTATTTTTATGGAATTCTGGTCCAACGTAGCGACGAGCATGTAATGTTTTATTCTTCCATGTTGTTAGAGAACTAGAGTCCCACATCAGGTACATAAGGAAAACAGAAATGACGAGCACACAGAGTAGAGGTCAATTGGTGAATTTAGAGAATCCCGTTTCCCAAAAGACATGTCTAGTAGAAGTAATTATGGAATTTGAATACAGTTAGTATAGGGAAAATTTCAAAAAACTACGAGGATTGGAGATAAAGATAACATATAATTAGGTCCATTTTCACATTTTAAAATGGTATTAGAGTGTGAGAAGGTGTATGGATAAAAAATTTAAGTCCACTAAAGATAAAGTCAAGATATAGTACATAAATAGAAGACAATCTCCACTTTGCATGCAAGTTGGTTTTATAAGACTGAGTAAGACTCAAATTAATGTGAGAATGTGTTAGTTATATAAAATTGCTGATTTGATTTGGTGTTTCTAGTTTGGTACCAATTGCAAATGGTGAGAATACATACATTTGCCTTTAGGCTTGTTTTTGTGGCAGAGAAAATGGTAGCTAGAATGGTGGATCTTCGGTCAGATACAGTGACAAAGCCAACTGAAGCAATGCGAGCTGCTATGGCGAGTGCTGAGGTTGATGACGACGTTCTTGGCCGTGACCCCTCTTGTTTTCTCTTAGAGTCAGAGATGGCAAAGATATTTGGAAAGGAAGGTGCAATTTTTGTTCCATCAGGCACAATGGGGAACCTTATATCCGTGCTTGTGCATTGTGACATAAGGGGAAGTGAAGTTATTCTGGGAGACAATTCCCACATACACATTTATGAGAATGGAGGCATTGCAACCATTGGAGGGGTCCATCCAAGAACAGTAAAAAATAATGAAGATGGAACCATGGACATTGATTTGATTGAGGCTGCCATCAGAGATCCAAAGGGAGAGCTAGTGTATCCAACCACAAGGCTTATTTGCTTGGAAAATACTCATGGAAAGTAAGCAAATAAACAACTATTCTGTTCAAAATTTTCTACATAGTAATTGATTGGTTAAAATATCCTTATGAATGCAGCTCTGGTGGTAGATGTCTTTCAGTTGAATATACAGACAGAGTGGGAGAGGTTGCTAAAAAACATGGACTGAAGCTTCACATTGATGGAGCCCGTATATTTAATGCATCAGTTGTGAGTCAATTTTCTGTTTACTTGTGATTAATTTGTTCAAGTACTTAAGAGTAAAATCACTGCAATGATAAATATGTGCCTGAAATGCACTTGGCTAGCTGAATTCTTGCAATTGTGTGAGTAATATGTGCAGCCTAGATCTCCAATATTGAAAGGTAAGTGAGATATTTATTTTACTAAGCTCTATGAATACATATATTTGTGTAAATAATCTGTCAGTAAAAGATCTTGCTTCATTAAAGAATGCATGGAGGCATACATCTCTCTATTTTGGCTGCGACGAGAAGTTTAATGCCAGTATGGATTTAGTCAAATTAAGCAATTAGTGCGATGAAAAGTTCAAAAAAAAAATCAGAAAGTTAATCGAAATAAGCAATTAGTTCACAAAAATAAGTTAAACTAAGCATGGGTTTGGTCCAATTTTCTGATATTGAAATTTAAATAGTTCGATAATTATCTAACTATTTTGATTAGAGTGACCACATAAATGCATAATTCCCTGATTAAATCCGAATTCATGTTATCTACAACGTTCTTATTGTTGTAGTAGGAGATATAGGAATAACATCATATATTTTTTTTGTAGATGTAGCTTTTCAGTTCTTTTGGTTCCTTAACAGATGTAATTTTCATTTATTCCCTCTGCTATTATGTACACACAACACTTAACAAAAAACATTTTGGGTTTTCATTCAGGCACTCGGTGTCCCTGTGGATAGGCTTGTTCAAGCAGCTGATTCGGTATCGGTGTGTTTCTATTTTCTCACTCTTTTTTTAACAAGATTCATCGGAAAGGCATTTCTGAAATGAGCAAATAAGATTGTATCTAAGATTAAAATATAATTAGTGGGTTAAGATTGTAATGTACTTTCGATTAAATTAAAGGTAGATATATCTTGGTTTCATCACTTTAGAAAATAGAAACAGTTTCATTTTACACGAACATATTTCAAGATTTAGGAAGCATTTATTTAATTTTATCTCAAAAGTTATTAAAAGTTAAAATTATTTCTTGCAAAAGTTTTAATAAGACGAAGAGAGGCAACATTAGTGTGATTTCTTGACTCTAGCAATTTGAGCTATATCTTAATTGTAGAAGTTCTAGGAACCAGTTACATTAGCAAATTGACACGAAACTTTTGTTTCCTCTATATCCTATTATCCTATTATATGTAATAATGGAACTAACCAACTAATAATTATTCCTTTGAATATATGAATTAGGTATGTCTATCAAAAGGCCTGGGTGCTCCAGTTGGATCTGTTATTGTTGGTTCCAATAGCTTTATCACCAAGGTAATCTTTTGGGGGAATTTAATAGAAGCTATATTCTTTCAGAAATTAAAAACATGATACTAATTAAGTCTAGTATATATATCTGCTATTTTAGGCTAGACGGCTCCGAAAAACCTTAGGTGGTGGAATGAGGCAGGTTGGTATCCTTTGTGCTGCTGCACTTGTTGCTTTACAGGAAAATGTTGGAAAGCTAGAAAGTGATCACAATAAAGCTAAACTTTTGGCTGGTAATTAAATATCATACAATTTTAACTCATTCATTCATATGCATTTTTGGCTAGAAAGTGATCACAAGAAAGCTAAACTTTTTTCTTCTAAATTGCACTTGCTTTTCTCATGTTTTGTTTTTTAGATGGATTAAATGAAATTAAAGGACTAAGAGTGGATACCTCTTCTGTGGAAACCAATATTGTGAGTATGAAACTTTGATGCTTAATTATTATCTTAGCTTGAAACAACTACTAACGAAAATCATTTACATATAATCTCTGATACCAGATATATGTTGAAATTGAAGAGGGCTCAAGAACTACAGCAGCGAAACTATGCAAAGACTTGGAAGACTATGGTATCTTACTGATGCCAATGAGCTTATCAAGGTCTTATTTGCACTGTTACTATTTTTTTAATCTGCAATTCGTTAATTAAATATAAATATTTCGGGGGGTACACAAAAACTATAGTATAGATATTAATTCTTGCATACATTTATATTAAAGACCTTCTATCTAATTGCTTTTTTTTTTTGTTACATCGTGTTTTCTTATCAATAGAAATCTAACTTCTATATCAAGAGATTTACGATATACATCCATCTTACTCAACTAATTGAAATAGGCTGTTTTAATAAGTGTTTAATTCAATTACCTTGGGTAGTAATCGTCCTTCACAACCAAATCCATTATCTTATGCAGAACACTCCCTAACTAGTTTCGTTTTCAATACGTAAGTGAGAAGCATGTTTTGAAACTCTTTAAGCAGGCAGTGATGTGGGTCAGTGGAAAAAATAATTAGTTATTTTTGCATCAATGTTAATATGACTCTTACTAAAACGTGAATCATGGACGTGTAACTAAACATGAACAGAATCACAAAGAAATTTTATGTACTTGTAATTAAGAGGTAGAATAATATTAGAAATTGCCAAGAGGGCTGATGACAATATTTACTTTTTCCAGATTGAGAATTGTCTTCCACCACCAAATATCAGCAAGTGACGTGCAGTATGCCTTGTCGTGCTTTGAGGTGATGACTAGGAATTCATAAATTAACCCTACTCTTCTTGTTAATTTGGTGTATATAATAATGCCTTCAATTTGTTCACTTTTATTGTTTTTATTGCATTTTCTTGGAAGATGAAAGTTGAAACTCTCTTTTGTTGGATGTTGTAGCAAGCTGTCAATGGAGTACGAAATGAAAATGGCAACTAGTGGACGAATTTGAAATTTGCATCGCAACTTGCTGCCACATATGTAACTATTATCAAATTAAATAAAGATCAAATTCCATTATGTGAAAATATATATTATATATGGAGACCTTTGTAAGAAGTTTTGAACATGATGACATGTACGTTTATGAATGATGTGTAATCCAAATTTTCTGAGTATGAGTCTGCAGTGGTGGAACTGTGAGCAGTGAAGACCTTTAATTTGCACAATCTTTGTATACTCTTTAATGCTCTTTTTCTGTATCTTGAACAAAATGTGGTTCTTCCTGTCGTACTAGCATGCAGAGAAATATATAGCAGTTGAGCAAAAGTATGTGCTTGTTCTATTCATATGGTTTACCGATTTTCAGATAAATAAATGGAAAGAAATTAAAGTAGTGGGCCTCTTAGATATTCATCTCACTTTTAACAACAAATTTTATTTCTTAAGTTTCAATATATTTGTGTCTTTGAATGTGTTTCAATATTCCTAAAGTTTTGTATTACTTTAGAGTTAAAATTAAGAATAGCTTATAAATATTTTTCTTAATTCACTAAAATGCATCTTCAAAAATAAAATTTTGATGACATAATAATATTTAACGAGTATTAGAACGAATAATATTTCAAAAAGTAGAAATTTTGATGATCAATGGAGCTTAATAATAAATAAATAATTTATTTATCAAAATGAAAAAAATTAGTCCAAGTAGTTAATTTTTATTAATGTCATTAGATTAAATTTTATTTCAAAAATACATTTTGAATTAAATGATTTAAATAGTGGTTGCAATTAATACATTTACTTGCATAGGAATTAAGAGAAAATTAAAAATCAATACATATATATTAAAATATGTCTATATTTTCTTTATAATTAAGAAAAAAAGTAATTAATTATTTTTTATATAAAGGATAAGAAAGAGTATCATTTTTCTCTTGTTTCACCATAGAGATGTATAGAGTCCGTTTAATTTGCTAAAAGTTATAATATTTGATAGGAAAAATATAATTTTTAATGTTTAATTTTTAAAAAAATTGAGATAATACAAATTAGATGAAGAAAATGATTAAAAAAAGGCTCTTTTTTTATTACTAAATATAAGACAATTCTTTTATTCCAACGCTACAAAATCCACGAGACAAATTAAAATGAAATTTGGTTAAACAAAATTTTCTAAACTTAAATTATATTAAAAGTAGGTATGGTGTAACTTGATTTGTGTTTAGATAGTTTTATTCTAAAAATATTTTTATCAAAATGAAACATGTTGGAATGATATTAATCAAAAAAGCACTTTTAAATATATAATTATTCACATGTGTATCACTTTTCTAATGTAATATTAATACTATTTATTTCATTATTTTTTTTAAGTATATTTGAAGTGATAATAAGTTATTATTACAATTTTTAAAAAGTTGGTACATTGTGTAAAAAAAAAAAAGTTGGTACTAACATTATAACTTAAAATTAATAAATTTACAAATAATGTTACAATATATACATAAAAATATATTTTTCAGAGGCTTGCTTTAACAACCCAAAATAACTAGAATGCCAATTAATTAAAATAATAATAAAAATTAGAATAACACCTAATTAAACCATCTGTGTGAATCACGTTAGCAATGAAATTAAACCATTCCATCCCCTTTCGTTTCAACACAAATCGCTTATTTAGTTTGATTTGCTTTTAATTTATGCCTCTTCCTCTCGTCTGTAATCATACCTTTGTTCACGCACTTTGTCCATTTATCTTCGTAAACGTAGCGTGTATGGATTCTTGTACTCTTCATCTTATATTTTATGATTAATAATTTAATAAACGTGTAAGATAAAAACAACTTAAACCATTAAATTGTGTTAAATGTAACTGTATTAAATAAGATTATTTCTAGAATTTTTAAAAAATAAGATTCTTTCTAATAGAAAATAGTTGTAGTCAATATAAAAGAAATTAATCCTTTGGTAGATGCTAGTTTCTACATTATTGGTTAACATCCAAAGACAAAGCAATGGCAAATATGTTGACGCATTTTTGTAACAAGAGTGTAAAAAGAAACAAACTGAACTGAATTATTCCGAAACCGAAACATAAAAATGCAAATTCACAGTAAGAAAACTGAATGGAACTATATCAAACCTATGAATAATGTAGACAATTGGTCAATAACTGAAAATCATTGTTTATTTGGCTCTCATGCATGACAAACTCTTGTAAAATTATGAGTTTTGTATCTGTCTAGCAGCATCCTAATGTTAAATATTTTTCTTGAGCATACAGTTGATGGATATGTCTAGCAGCTGGTTCTGTTTACTGAATTCAAGGAAACATGAACAACTATTATTTGGAAAGTATAGTAATTTTTATTCAAATTTACAAAATCAGTCAGATGATGATTTATTTTTTTATTATTTTTTAATTTTTAATCATATTACTAATTGATGTAAATTTTTTTACATATTCTATTTATCTAGAAGACTAGATATCTTGAACATGAAATTTAAATAATGAAATATTTGTAAGTGATACAATAGTAACCCGATAACATGTGACACAATATGTTCAAGTCCAAAATCAATTAATAATTATTAAGATAAATTTTAATATAATTGTAAAAAAATAAATTAAATTTTAACTCAACTTTATAAAATTAACTTATAAAACAAAAATTATATTTTACTTATATAATATATTTTATCCTTATTTCTAGTACGTGGAATTCCAACAGTAATAATTTAACATTTACTTATTTTTTTATTTATTGTACTTCTACTTAATTAGTTTGTTTATTATTACTATTAGCCTTGAGTTGAGCACGTCTTATAAGTTATATATACTCGATTTAGGCATTTATGTTTAATGATTTTTTCTCATAAAAGAATAAGGTTTTTTATAACGGCTAAACACATATATTATCTTTTATCCCATTATGAAATTTTTTCCGAATTTTTAAATAAATTTACCTTGGTACTTTAAGTTTTAAATTGGAATTAATTGTGTTCTTCCAAAACACTAATCATTACTTTATTTTATTTTGGAACATGATTTTGAACCTCTTTTAATATATTAAAGACATAAAATTCATTTCCTTTAATTCATCTAAATAAAATTTATAAAAAAATATATAATAAAAATTTAATGAAAAAATAATCCCACGAGGGTTTAAACTGATTTTAGATTTTTTTTATAAATATTTTCAGTTGTTTATGGGACTCACTTTTGACTTTTTTTCCCTTCAAATATTAAATGATTTTTATAGTTTACATGCAAGTAAATTTAATAAAAACAAATCTCACGTACTGAATCAATAAAAAATATTTAAAATTATGTCTTAAAATCAAATACAACTATATTTTAGAAGAATAATTTACTCAAACTTAAAAGTTAAATATCAAAATAAATCTTTTAAAAATATAAAATATGAAAACAAATGTTAAAAATTAAGATGTGTTCAAATTAACTTATACATAAATATTTATAAAAAAGGAAATAACTTATGAGTATATAACAATAGATAAAAGAAATCTTCACCCTAACTATTTATTGCTTTCTATTTTTTATTTAGACAATTTTATTCTTAAGTACCCTTATTTTCTTTTTTACCTTTTTCTAAACTTTTTTTTTCTTCTAATTTTTACGCACAATTTTTCATTGATGATTATTTTTACACTCACCCAGTAATATATATTAAAAAATAAAAAGCTAATTAGTTAAGTGTACATCTATATATTCGGCGTCTGGCACAGAGGTAATTGAGCTTGGTGTCATTTTTTTTAATTAATTAGCTTCGCCTCTGTAGAGACTACAGAGTATAAATTAGCAAAAAGATCTAAGAAAAAAAAAATTAGCAAATAAAATAAAACGTTAAAGGCAACCCTATCTGTGCAGGGTTTGGTGGTGCTCGAACCAGATATTATTAAGGAATGGGAGGGTGGCTACTAATATTTATTAAGTACAGCTACGATTACGAAAGTACAGTGTAAAACAAAATTATCGTGTACTAAGTACTAACAATTTAACGTTGAATTATTTTTTGTTAGTTTAAAAAAAAATTATTACATTATTTAATTATCATATTTGTTATGTTTCTTCTTTATGTAATAACTTGAAACAATTATTACTTTTAACATAATTCAATTACCATGCAAGAAAATGTTAAACTATATTTGGCTATCTTAAAGTTTTCATGCAAGAGTCACTTGATCATTCATGCATAATACTTGTATATGGACAAAAAATATAAGATAATTCCTGCATATATGACTGAAAACATGAAACAATTCTCATGTCTTATGCCAATTTACCTATATCTTATGAGACAGAGAACCTCTAAGTCAATAGGGTCTAGGGTGGCTAAACTCATGTTTGACCTGTTTGACTAGCACTTGGCGTTACAACACTAACATCCAACATTGTTTAGGTAGAGAACTTCTGTCTCGATCACACTTAATGTTACTCATCTTGGGTCTGATTTAGAAAACTCATCGAGTTCTCATGTCTGACGCCTCTCATTACTATGTTCAACGAGACCAAGTCAAAAAATTTCTCATATTTTTCTTAAAACATGTATTTATAGGAGAGAGGAACTCTTTGGGCTCCAAAAAACTTCTCTTTAATTTTTCTTAAAACATGTATTTATAAAAGTTTACATCTTAAGAAAAATTTTATATATCATTATTCTACTTGAATTAACTTAATCATTTGAGACTACTTTCGACAACTTAACTCTAAAGATCCTTTAATCCCAAAACTCTAGAGCAACATCAATTCAATAAAACAACAAATAAATCATAAAATTAATCAACAACTAGATAAAATCACAAAGTGTTATGCTCTACTTTTACTTTTTTATTCAAAAATAAATCTTCTCCATTTCTTTTTATTTTCATTTCTTAAACTTTTGAAAAAAAAAAAAATAAAGTTGATATATACTTTAGAAAAAAGTTATATTTATATTTTTAAAACCTTAATAACAAAAACCAAATAAAAAGAAAAATGGAGAGAATATTTAATTATTTTTATTCATCTTTAATTTTCTCCCTCTTCAATTGACCTTAAAATTAAATCATTTACAGTCTGTTAATTGCCTTTAGCGTAGGTAACTTGTTTATCCTAAGACAGTGCCACCTAGCTATCAAGAATTTTCTGGGAAGACAGTTTGAAATTTTGGATGTTATAATATGTGAGACATTTTGCACCGTGAGTTTTAATGATATTTAAAGA